GATTATTTATTATTAGGGGGGTGGGGACGTCGTTTATGATTAGGGGGAAGCGATTAATAGGGGTTGTGGTTTAGAGGTTGAGCTTAGAGACATAAGTAAACTGAGGCCTTGTTGGCTGCCAAGCACAGTGCAGCAAGGACATGCTTCGGCCAGGTTTTCATGCAGGGTACCCTAGTGACCCCCAAAAGGTCCTTATTCACAATTATAGGGACCTATCAAATCGGAACCATACTATTCATGGGAACATTCTGGGGCCGGATAAACTTAAACAATTCACCCCTTTGCGCGTCTAGAGTCTAGGGTTTATAGGCATTAGGAATCGGCCTTGTGAAGTGAGTCGAAGCCATTTTGTCTTCATTCGGCTAGAGTGGCCTAGGGTTTAGGGGTTTAGGGTTGAGGCGACTTGAGTCCAAAAGCTCAAGCCCTACTTTCCTGATAGGCAATTCATGTCTTCATCATGAGGCCTTTTGTCAGGCAATGTGGGGAACATTATGATAGCTATGCTGCCTATCCCGGGAGGGACATTTCCAATTGAAGGACTTCGGAATTCCCCGCCACCCATGTAAGGTTGCCATCTTGGGGTTATGTTGGGGGTTAGATTGAGGTTTATGTTGGGGATTGATTATATTGAGGTTGCGTTAGCCACCTTTCAAGCACAGCATTCCCGCATGGATGCACCCAAGCAGTAGGATCCGTCCTGGCAGAAATACACCCCAAACTGCACACCTACTCTAACAGCTCCTTCTACAGGACCGCAGGTGTGCATACATATCTTTCAACCAGCTCCTTGGCTTGCAGATGCGCTGCGTGTTTGCTTGTCACCCGCTTTTGATTCGGGGACGGCTGCAGGTAAGTTAGGGTCCTTGATTGCATGCATGCATGCATGCATGCATGCATGCATGCATGCATGCATGTGCACCACCTGTTGGGGCCCCAACCCGAACCCCGGTGGAGTCCCAAAGGCTGCGTAGTGCTTCACAGTCCTCTGGGCAAGAAAACGTGAGAAAGAGAGTAAGTATGGCTTGTGGAAGTGTGTGCTACATCTAGGAGAGGTTGACTTCTAAACTACAAAGCCAAAGTCTCTCAAGCACAGGTCAGGCCATATATATATGGATCATCAAGATTCCAAGACTGAGCCAGGACAACATCACACTTCCTTGAGAGGAGATTGAGATTCTGCTTTGCAAGAGTCTAGTTGAATTCACCTTATGCCCTGTTTTGAACTAGCAGCTTATGGAAAAGAGTCTTCTGTAGGAATTTGGGGTCGTGATGGGCCAGGCGTCACAAGGGTTTCCTGCGAGTTTGGGGTTCGCACTCCGGTAGCAGCTCACTCCACATGGCGAGGGTTTAGGCTTAGGGTCTAGGGTTTGGACTAGCATTTGGTAGGGAACTGTGCCAGTTAGTGCTTCACTCAGGAATGATGGCAGCTCGGATGCAGACAGCGGGTTTCTTACCTTCGCTTAGCTAGGAATGAAGGAAAGGATCCTTATAGTAGTCCCTATATAACCCATTATAGTAGTTTCCATCTTCTTGTCCATTCCTTCATTCCCAGCTAACCAAAGGTAAGGTTGTAGGGTTACGGGGATGTCCTCCCGGAATGAAGGACTCCACATGTTTTTGCC